TTGATCTAAGATGCGCAGACCAACAACAGCATTGGGGAAATCAAAGTTAGAGGCAGCATGCACTAACAGGCATGGATACATCAATGGTTGTATTATGGAAGTTGCTGATTTTCCATCAGCGTTGACTCCTGTAGCAGATGTACTTCAGGGACACTTGACACCAATTCTCACAGCTATCTTGGGATTGCATATGCCTCTTATCCAGCCTGGAGATGTTTCTGGCCTTGACCATTTTTCCAAGCAGTTTGGTGGAGGCTTCTGCACAAATCACTTAGTCTCCCTAGAAAGTGAAGCAGTATGAACATGAAGAATGAAGTTTAAATATTTTAACCTGATAGTTACAAATTACATGGTGGTGATGTGAGAAAATGTGGTAACATGAGTTTAATTATTCCAGTAACAAAAAGGAAATAAAACAAATCCACAGAATCTCATAGGTTGTCATGACAATTTGGTTTTCTGTTATAATAACAACATTCCAAATGGCAACAAATGCATTTATTGTTTATCCATGTTTGCATTATTTCAGCTAAAGTCAGTGGTACACTTTGAAAATTTATATGTTTAAGCCTATGAGTAAAGCAATAAAGGTACCGATCATTTGTGTTAACTGGAAAAGCCATTAAGTATGTTTGGTGAAAGTAAACAGGAGGTATTGTATGGATACTTTCTACTGGGCTCTTAAAGGAATCATTTCAACAAAATTTGTTCTTGACTTCATTTTTCAAAGTCACGTAGTACCAGTCTTACAAAAAGACAGATGGTCAAGGTGCTCTCTAAAAGTCTTTGACATGGTAGTATATAAATCTAAAACCTGAAGAAGACATGAATAGCTACAGCACAGCCTACAAAATAGCCATCAGGCAAAAAAATAGGAGAGTTTTAAAGACAATCAATTAAATTCATGGGAGGGAAAATGAAGGTGTTGACACAGACTTTGGTTGAGAAACTCCTGAGTTGCAGGCTGCTGGAACTTGGGTGGCTGTAACACAGAATACACGCTTGGTTGTCATGGTTGTCTTCTTCCCATGCTGTCTCCCTTGCCATCCTACTGGCACCCGCTGGAAAGCCTCCAGGACCTCCTGGAGCCTTGCCCTGCTGCAGTATGGATATTCTCACATAACCTAAAGCAACCTGACAGGGTAAATACACTTGACAGCAATTTGTTCAGCCTGGATGGCTTGAAGCCATAAGGTCAGGAATTTAAGGTAATTTACTGCAATTTGTCATGCTGGGGAACTGAAAGAAAACAGACATTTCTATAGACAATATACTCTTAGTTGTGTTGCGGGCTGAACAGCAGAGGTTACGTTTTCTTGTGGAAGTACTGAAGTCTCCAGTTCTGATACTTTCTAAGATGAAGTATTTAGAAGGCTAGAAGCAATTAGACTGTATACAAGAAATATGGGGTATCACTGAAAGAAGAACCATCATGAATAGTCCGATCTGTAAGTTAAATGAATCCTACGAATGATGTACTGTCCAAGTAGATGTGTAATTATTCCATAAGAAATATTATATCTTTTAAATGTATTGAAACGTGAAGTCGCCTGGCACTGGAGCAGAACATAATAGCAGTTATTTAACAGGTTGAAACAACTCCCATTGAATCACTGGTATTTATCTCCTTTGATGTAAGTAAGTAACCGAACCATTGCAAGAGCAGATGTCAGTGACTGTGGATTAAGGGGGCTACTATTGAAAGGGCACGATGGTCTCCTGAAGTCAGTTGCTTGCTATTTAATGATGATGAATAATACTAAAAGTAGTTATTCTGAAATTGAATCTGTCTCTTATTCAAAAATATAGGAAAAATCCTGAGGGATGAGAGTCTCATGAACTTGTTCCTGACTATATGCTTCTCATGCCAGGATAAACATCTATGCCTTGGATAATATGATAGCAAGTTTTCAAAGTTACTGACAGTGTAACAGATTTTTGATGGGGTGGCCATAGGATTAAAAAAAAAGACAAAAAATCAGGAAGAAATTGAATTAAAGACGAATCGACACTTTTTCCCAGTAAAATTTAAAAAAAAACAAAACTAAAAAAAGTTCATTTTGTATCAATTTAAAATACTGTATTAAGAAAAATAAAATCTGTGTTACTTACAGGATATTTGAAACATTTTTACTTGCAATGATTATGGTGAAATTTACCTGAGAAAAGGGACCACATCTACTATCTGCTACAAAATTTGCAAATTAGCACTTGCGGCCACAGGTTCTGCAGTGGGAGCTGGTATAGGGAGTGCAACAGGGCAAGGGTTTCCTTTCCTCCGTTGTCAGGATCCAAATCAGGAGGTAGGATTAGGACCCAGACCCCATGGCAGCTCCCCTGGTGGTGCTGATACTGTTTTGTGGGGAAGGGGCAGTTCTGCCACCTCCAGCTGGCATGAGGGTACAGCAGTCACAGCATGGCCCATCAGCTGCTTTTTCGCTCCTGAAGTGTGGGGAGAAGATATCAGTAACCAGGAATGAAACCAATCTGAGAAGGCTCCTGAAAGCCAAGTCCTGTTTGACTAATCTGATCTCCTATGACAAGGTGACCTGCTTAGTGGATAAGGGAAAGGCTGTGGATGTTGTCTGCCTACATTTTAGTAAAGCCTTGGACACCATTTCCCACAGAATTCTCCTGGAGAAACTGGCTGCTTATGGCTTGGACGGGCATACGCTTTCCTGGGTAAAAAACTGGCTGGATGGCCGGGCCCAAAGAGTTGTGGTGAATGGAGTTACATCCAGTTGGCGGCCAGTCAGAACAACCCCATGCAGTGCTGCAGGCTTGGGGAAGAGTGGCTGGAAAGCTGCCCAGTGGAAAAGGACCTGGGGATGTTGGTTGACAGCCGGCTGAAGATGAGCCAGCAGTGTACCTGGGTGGCCAAGAAGGCCAACAGCATCTTGGCTTGTATCAGGAATAGTGTGGCCACCAGGACTAGGGAAGTGATCGTGCCCTTGTACTCGGCTCTGGTGAGGCCACACCTCAAATACCATGTTCAGTTTTGGGCCCCTCACTGCAATAAGGACATTGAGGTGCTGGAGCGTGTCCAAAGAAGGGCAACGAAGCTGGTGAAGGGTCTAGAGCACATGAGGAGCAGCTGGGGCAACTGTGGTTGTTTAGTCTGGAGAAAAGGAGGCTGAGGGGAGACCTTCTTGCTCTCTACAACTCCCTGAAAGGAGATTGTAGCAAGGTGGATGTGGGCCTCTTCTCCCAAGTAACAAGTGATAGGACAAGAGGAAATGGCCTCAAGTTGTGCCAGGGGAGATTGAGATTGGATATTAGGAAAAATTTCTTCATTAAAAGTGTTGTCAAGCACTGGAACAGGCTGCCCAGGGGAGTGGCTGAGTTACCATGCCATGGCGTATTTTAAAAGATGTGTAGACGTGGTGCTTAGGGACATGGTTTAGTGGTTGGAGTTGGCACTGTTAGGTTTATGATTGGACTCAATGATCTTAAAGATCTTTTCCAACATAAGTGATTCTATGATTTTATGTAGGGATTTCTGTTAAAGGGAGACATTATTTGGTCAGAAATGTCATCAGAAGGCTCAGTATAAGCAAGGCTCGAGATTTCAGAAGATGCAGGGCTAAGGGTTGGAGGCCCTGCAAAGCTTGACTTCTTTCACTGTACCTCTGCATCCTCTGACATCATCTGCCAGCCAAAAAAAAACTTAACCTTTAGATCAGTCTCACAGACTGGCACAGCAGAACTGGCAGTGAAATCTGCTTGGCAGTAAGAGTTCTTGTGGAGAACGGCAGGGCTTCTGTTTGTTACTCAGTCGGGTCCTTCATGGGTTATTTCTTTATTTACATTGATGGGAAATATACAAACATGGCATTTTGAATTAACACATAGTCATTTTCTACAGATTAGAACTGAGGGACTGGTGGGTAGTTTTCATGCTGTGTTAGTGAGAGGGATAAATGAGGCCATGCACACCTTATAGCAGTACCCCAGCAGGGTGGAACCTTAAACAAGATGAAGCCAACATTTATAACAGGAAAATATCAAGAAAATAGCCCCATGACCAGAGACGTCGTTTCATATCAAAATTTTATCTGTATCCAATTACAGCTGAGACAGTTATCTTAACTGGCTATTGTTGTTGTTAGGCTTCTAATTTGCCTTGTAATCTACGTCTACTATATTAGTTATTAGATGAATAGGCATTTATTGTATTACGCATTGGAGAACAATCTAGTTTTAACTAGCATGGGCGTGCTGTTGTTTTCTAGATGGTCTATTATTATGGTTTGGGCTGGTTGAAGATTTGTTGTTGGACTTCTGTTGGAAAATGCCATTCTCTAACAAAAAGAAAATTAAATATTGGCATGAGGTTTAATTATGACTAGTAAGTGCTAAATTGATAAAGGAAGACTTTCAGAAGCAATTTCAGCTGTAGAGATCAGGTGATATCTCATTAAATACCACAGCCTTTAGAAGTAGTATGATGATGGCATAATCACTTTTAAAATCCCATACTAATTAAAAATTTGCTCTTTTGCACTATATTGAGCTCATTTCAGAAGTACAGTAGTACACATTATATTAGAACTATTGTCACTTTTAAAACAATCTGTCCATTTCAATTGTTTACATCCTACACTGACATTCCCCTCCATTTTTACATTCTATCAGTTTGCACAGCTTCTTCAGAGCATATATAAAGCAGTATACTTCTGTATACTCAAATTAGTACAATCAACTGCATCTCTGAAGAGGTCTAATTTTGATAGAATCAATCAGAATTTTTCTCCACTGGAAAAAGAAAAAAACCAAACAACGATTGTGAAAAATCATAGTTTTGCCAGTATTACAGCTCTGTGTTTGTGTGCCATACAACTCTTTACCTGAATTATACCACCAAACTCACTGAGAAAGCATCAGATCAGAAATTTAGGTATTCCCAAATAGCTCCAAATCAGTGAACAGATACTGTTTTGCAGTACCTTTTTATGAAATGCAATATTTTTATTTAATTTATTTTATTTTTTAATTTATAGATGGCTACCCTAAAGAGGAAATGATTTACAGATGGAGGAAAAACTCAGTGGAGGCTGCTGACCAGAAGTCTTGGAGACTCTATCAGTTTGACTTTATGGGTCTCAGAAATACTTCAGAAATTGTGAAAACCTCTGCAGGTAAGAATGATAAAAATGGTAGTGCTTGATTTGGAAAGCAATTTATTTAAAAATATTTGTTCCAAGTTTGCTTTCATTTGAGTGCAATTTCATTTCAATGTGTACCAATGTTCGTACTAAAACCTCTAAAGTGCAGACTTCAAAACTATTGACTTTGTCTAGATTTTTGATGACTTCTTCTCTACTCTTTTTGTAATTTCACAAATCAAGGAATAAATGCTAACTTGACATGGCTGTTTGTTATATACTTGAAGTGACTATATGTTTCTAATTTCTCAGCTAAGTTTCTAAAGCCATTCCTGCACTGAGACGTATGTTTTCACCATAAATTAAAGAGAAAGATTTTGAGCATAATGGTAGAGCTAGTGAAATTAGACACTTTTAATAGTAGTTAATCATTCAGCCACAGGTTTGTTATTTTTCTTAATATTTCAAAGGCACTCTTTATTTCTGAGCTGATAAATGCCTTTGCTAGTGACATTACCAATTGATTGTAATTAAAATCTAATGATGCCTGTTTTATTTCTTCAGAAATCTTACTGTTTCTTATAATAACAGCAATATAGGGAAAAAAGATGTATAAATAGAATACATTATTTGAACTAGATAAATTCTCATAAAATTCAAACAATGTCTAGACTTTATACATGACTCTGCAGTAAGTTCCATGATTATCATTTGGTAAGTCTTCTCCTAGCTGCAGAAGTAAGCTGCTAGAAGCAATCTTATTAATTGGTGGTGGATTTTTGAAAAATCCAGTTTATTTTTTTCAAAGTGTAAGCAGAACTATGTTATTCTTTTGGAAACACTGTAAATAATAGTAATAATAAAACATTATTAATCTGTGAAACTGCTGCTGTTGGGTCATGACCCACCCACTAACATCAGTAATGTATTCTCAGGACAGGATAGCAATTTTTGTAATGAGGAGTCACTAAAGCTTTAATGAATATTTTGGGCTGGTAGTCTAGCAGAGCAAAATGTTGCAAACAGTGCACATGTAAAAGTTCTCTTTTATTCTGGATACAAATCCTTGTAGTCTGTAAGTTTCTCAGGAATGCAAATTTCTTAATTGCATCAGCCATAAGTTGAACCAGGAGTTGGTGGGTAACAGTCAAGTACAAAACACCAAATCATTAAACTGTCTGTGCATGCAGGCATGAAGCTTATTGGAAGGGATGGTATAAATAGGAGAGAAAGCCCTGCTCTTTCTGCTTTGCTCACATCTGGAGTGATGCCATCCTGAGTTTGCATCACGAACCACTAAACACGCATGCAAGAAGAATTACCAGATCAACCGTACTAAGATATTGACAGTGTCTTGATAAACAGATCTATTAAACTCTTCCTTTGCCCAAGACAAAGCCATTTTTATAGAAGTCTCAATCAAGTGAGTAAATGGTTAATGTGGAGCAAGGAAAAAATATATTTTCTATGTTATTTTTAGTATATTCCCAGTTCTTATTAAGATGAGTGAGCTAACAGTATGTTTTTCCTATTATTGCTATTGCTGCTTCTGCCCACCCCTGTTTATGAGTGCAAAACTTGATAGCAGTGTTGAACTGAACCTACTGGAGCCATCGTGACATTTCTATTCTCCCAAAAGCATCGTAGTAGCAAAAAGTTGCTGGCAAACTGGAGTTTATTCAAACACTAAAAAAACAACAACCCCGAACACAAAATGACTCTATCGGGAGGTTGTGGAAACTAACTTGGAAGAGACAATGTAAAATGCACACGTCAGCTTGTCAGCTGTGCTTTTAGGTAGAAAAATGAGTTGTGCATATGGCACATATATTCTGGCCAGCAGGTGGCCAAGAAGGGGCTCTCATTCAACAAATATATCAAAGATGTGAAAAATAAGCCCCTGAGTTTGCACATGGACCTCAATTTGCATGGAATAGACTCTCTGGCTGTATTTACATTATAGTTTAAAGTACTTTCAAGGCCAGATTTACTGAACATCAACAGTATTTACTGTCAGGAGCAAACCCAGGGCCAGGACTCGGGAAAACTAACTGGTACATTAGAAAACCTTGAGCATGCCCTATGCTATAGAGCAAGGATTCCCAAAATGGAGGGAGGTAGGCAGGACACAACCCACCTGGGACTGTGCAATATGTCTCAGAGACGAAATTTAAGATAATATTGCAATTACCTACTGTGAGCATATAATTATATGTGAATGAGTAGGATAAAGAGGCAGCTGTGCTGTGGTACATGCCTATTTACTGAAGAAAAGTAGCCCTATCCAAAAAATATGAGAATTAGGGAACCTCCAAAGCTGCTGTTTCCTACTGCGTAGAAAATCTCTGGTGAAGGGAGACAGCAGCTGCTGCCTACAGGTATCCCATCTCCTTTACAGCCGTGCCATGGGGGTACAGGCGGTCAAAGCAGAGATGCCAGGGTCTGTCATGGAAGATCTGTGGCATATTTTCACTAAAGCTGCCCGATGAGGGATACTGCGCCTGGGCTGCCCCTAAGACGCTATGGGTATAGGACCCCCCCTCGACTTTGGACTCCTCCCCAGAGAGACCAGTTCCCACCATCTAGCCTTTGGGAACATGTGTGGCCCCTCTGAGCCGTGCAGTAGCCCATAAAGGCCCCACCAGCCACCATGCCTTTGCAGACTCAGGAGAGAAAGGAAGAGCAGCACTGTTCCGAGTGCTGCGCAGGGAATCATTCAGAGTAAAGAGATGGAGTTAGGAAAAGGGAAGCAGGCAGGACACCAACAGCAGCTTCCTGACAAAGAGAGGTACTAAACGTCTCTTCCTCCCAAGGGAAATTATGGAAACTACTATTACATAGGGCATTTAGAAGCACGCTAGGCAAAGTACGAGAAAAAGTACTACAAGGAGCAGTCCTCCACTAGCAGGAGATGGATTCAAAACCCTAACATCTTTTTTTGCTTCTGACTTATACCTTTCTGCTGGTTTATGACACTATTACTTCTCACTAAATTGCGTGTTCATCTATAATGTGAGAGCTGCTGCAACATTACGTACCTGTGTCCAGTTCAGGGATGCCTTTTTTAGCTCCTCTTCAGCAGTGTTCTGGCTATAATGAAGAGAGGTCATACTGACCACACGGCAACACGCTGCTGCTCTTCCAGCATTTGCGTAAGTCTTTTCTTGGTAGTCATTTTCACCACAAAACTACTAGATTTAGTACTCAGCAGAGTTCTCCTATTTGATATTCTTTCAGTCTTTCCAAACTTTTTTCATATATCTAAATAACCTTTATGTTAATCCAGGGCAATTTCAGAGGTACACAAGTAGGAAGCCAGTCATCACAAACTGTGTATTTCTGAAATCTAAGCAAGATGAGAAGTGTTGTCATCTCTTGCCTTGAACCAGCAGTGGCTTAAAGCATTGCCACAGTGGCATGCTTTACTCTTGCAAGAAGACTATCCCCTTTTACAATAATCTGGGAGCCAGAGAAACTTCTCATTCCCGTCTGGAAGAGGTGTTCAGCTTTTTCTTGAATGTCGTGCTAAGATACAAACACAACCAGAAAAATATCTACTGCATATGGTGATTACATGGAATACACAGCAGAAATCACTGTGCCAGTGCTCTGGTCATGAACTTTTATCTTACACCCAAGTAAGCTCTCACTGTCAGGTGACATGAAACTAATTCACAAGTAGTGAAGAATTCCTTTGTTGCCATCTGGCAAGATACTCAAATACTATAGCAAGAGCACTTCTCTTGCTACAATGTCAAATAAGGCTGACAAGGATAATTAAAGTAGAGGGAACACTAAGTCACCTGGCATTGAGCTGTGAAAAAAGGAGGAACTTCATGTAAGGAGAAAATTCTCAAATTTGAAACCTGCAAATCAGCCAATGGAAGAGTGGTCAGGAAAACAGGAGAGAGAATGAGGGAGAACATCATCCTTAAAAGCACTCTGTGCGTGTTTGCAGTAAACTTCAGGTTTCTGAGTCACAGCCTTTCCAAGTACACTTTCAGGGGTCGGGGTGGGGAGAAAAAAAAGAAAAGAGAGTTATGAAGGAATCCATGAGTAAAGCTCATGGAGTGAGCTGTAGTGTTGCTTGCACTTCTCTGCTGACATCTCCCCTAGGGAAACTCTATTCATTCTTTTTAAACCACTCAATTTTTTACACTGCTAGATAAACACAAAGACCTTGTAGCTACTGAATCTAATTTTCATTTACTTGAAAACTTCTTTGCATCATACAAGTCCTATTTGTGTTCTTACTCAGATGCCTTTAGCCTGAGAGATTTTTCCAGTCCAAAGGAGCCTTTGCATAAATAAATTCAGGATAATTAATCAGAAATAGAAAACACCATAAAAGTGCCCTATTTAAAAACTTTAATAGCTGTTCATTACAAATTAAATATACAGAAGCAGACAGAAAGTACTATTTCATACATTCTGAATAGCCCCCAAGCATCAATACCCAAACCCCAAAACAGGCATAACTACCACCATAAAAAGGGACACCTTCGCATACATACAATGGATGGGTGACGGTTAGTGGAGTCTGCTAGTCATAGGACTTCTAAATTGTGCATTATATTTTGAAATTGCTGTTTCATCAAGTACCTCAGCTTACATGATGCTCTCAGCCCTGTATCACAAGGTTAACATCTGTTGTCACAGATTCAGATAAAGCTCTTTGAGACTGCTACCACCACCACAATATAAAGTATATACTCTGTTGCAGGGGACTCGGTAAATGGCAAGTAAAAAACTACCCTAGAACAAAAATAAGAAAGATGCAAAGACCTACAGCCTGGACATGGGGTTGGCAAGGCCAGGGTTGGCAGCAGGCAGCTAAGCCCCTCAGCTTGGGTAAGGGGTTGCAAGGTGGGTGGCAGAGAAGGGTGGTCACAGGCTGATCAGGGCAACTGGAGCCTGTTGGTGAGCTCACAGCCCTGACAAAGAGGGGAAAAAAATGCATGAGATGCCATAGTTGCTGAATGTGGTTGTATCTATGCATGTTTGGTTTTAATGATCTGATTCAGTCACACCCT